GTAACGTTATCGCCTTGCTTGCGTGAATTGATTAGGAAAGAAAGAAAAATCACATCACTTGAAGATTTTTAACATTAGCAAAAACTAAAATGGATATCACCTGTAACTCAAAAAGAAAATAATGACATACAATGCCGACGATCTCCATTACGTTAAACAGAATTTTAGGAAGGAATCTCCTATCAATATTAAAAGAACGCTGACGGTGGATTTGAGAAACGTATTTTACGGAAAAAACTGTTTTAAAATAAAATCTAATTTTCTGCTGACGTTACCGCTAACCGTACAGTCGATGAATGGCAAGTGTTTCCTTATAAGGAAACTGCAGATCTGACAGGTTCAGTTGGTGATGGACGGGTAGCTAAAAAGAAAAAATCCGTGGACTCTTGATGTTCTTCCAAATTTGTTGTGTTATCTGTCTTGATTCAAGTTTTCGATGCCATGTGTTTTTCGTCTGTTCTCATTTCCTTTTTAACTCTGCTTGGGATCCAATGTTAGGTTTTGTCGTCTGTTGGCAGCTGGCATTTGTACAGTAAGTTCAGCCTTCTCCAACTTCAATTTATGATCTAAGACCCACCAGTAAGCCGATTTGTTCATTGCCAAAAATCGTTCTTCCTGTTGATGTCATACTCGTTTTCTCCCAAAGCTAAAACGTCTTGTTCATCATCTGTCGGCTAATCCCAAACCCAACCAGCATTTTTTTCTGCGGAGCAAATGTGGGCTTGTAAACAGTGATTATTACGGCTAAGAATGCAAGACTCTTCGGTGAATAGAATCGAGTTCTTTCAGTCACTCTGTGTCTATCTAAAATTAAATACGCTTAAATTCAACTTCATCGTGCGCCAACGGCTTAGTGGTAGAATCCTCGACTGACGCCAATTCAGTCGGGTTTCTATCCTAGCTAGAGGCAACCGGGCGTCTAGCCACACTGATGAGCTGTGATACAGCGAAATAGTCTGTCTGTGGATGACTATATATATATATATATATATATATATATATATATGGCATCAAATGACAATTGGAAAAAAAAATCTTACATTTTACCGACGCGTTTCGTCTTCCGACTTTTTCAAGGCAAAAATGTAATCGAAATGTTTTTGTTGTTATAGTTACATAAAAATCCAAATTAATGTAAATTACCCTTATAGTAAGGGATTATTTTTTTTTTTTTTTTTTTTAGAATCCCGTACATTAATCAGAAAAAAAAGACTTAGACACAAGCGTCTATCTTTTTAAATTTGGATTTTTAATGTAAAAAAGTCGGAAGACGAAACGCGTCGGCAAAATGTAATTTTTTTTCCAATTGTCATTTGATGCCAATCTGTCTTGTCCACAGAATTCATCTGGGAATTTAACTAATATATATATATATATATATAATATATATACTAATAATTTTTATGCCTAATTTTTCCGACTTATTTCCACTTTATCGTTTCTCTCGGACCTGAAATGAAATTTTATATAGTTACATTTTACTTTCTATAAATGGAAGTCTCTTTTGTCTTACCGGTAAACCAGCTACACTGGACTCTCAAATTAAACTGCTATCACTTCTTTACACTAAGACGGTGTAAAGAAGTGATAGCAGTTTAATTTATGATGTCAGAGATGAGATGTAAAGTAATTGAGAAATACGAGTCGAAAATTTAGCTTGTATAGAAAAACGCAGTGCGACTTACATATTTAATAGTCAGACACATCGGGCTTATTATTAGCAATGTTATGTTAACAATAGGCATTACTCGATGCCACTCGAAGCGAACATGATTCGTGTAGCCATAACAGTGAACAATCTCATTACAAATAATGTAACAAAGTTTTTAATACATGACTTTTAATTTCTTTAGTTTTGCGTTGTCAGCTTTAAAGGAGATATATATATATATATATATATATATATATATATATTATTTTAAAGAATCTTTATAATCGTCATTTTCACGCAAATACCCTTGTAAATCGTACGAAAACCAAATCATACCTTTTCGCTGCATATGATTTTATTGTTAATTAACTAGCAACTAACAATTGATAATTAGTTGATAAATAATTTGTTAATTGATAGCAAAGCAGATTGGGCTCTTCAGCTATGGTTAATAGCAAAAATTATAAAGCTGCAAGCTTCGTCGGAAGTGGGTATATAAATGTTTTTGTTGTTTGATATTTCTTTCACGGCTTTTATATATATCTGCTGGAAAGTGTACTTTCATTCACTCTCCTGCAGCTAAGAAGGACAAGGCCGTGGAATTATAATTATGGAAAATCATTTATCATCAAAGAAAGAAACTCATCCTCGATATCGATAACATTCACGAAAAAATACTACATGAATACAAGACCATAAAAGAGACAAAAATCTAAAAACGAAACAAAGAAAATTTCTGGTGAAAAAACTCCTCGAACACCATCCGAAAACACCTACACTTTACTGATTACTAGAAATGACTATTGAAATATTTAATTACCTTTGTATGTAATAAATCATTTTAACCTTTATCACTCTGTATGTTACTTCATTTGTTGTACAAGAAGTCTATCCTGCCATTGAAGGTGACTCTGATCTCTGAATTTGTTTGAATTTCGTAGTAGTGTTGTCATATCCTTCAATGGCAACATAAAACACATTTCAGTGAAATTAAACATCAGATTACTGCAATTAAGAAGCCTTGAAAAATGATACAGTGGAAAGACAAGTAATATTAATAATGCAGTGTGCTAAGTGTTAACTCTTCGTAGGAAACGAAAAAGACAGGATTTTCCCGCCACTCCTCTCAGTGTATATATATATATATAGAGAGAGAGAGAAATTCAGAAGAGGACAGAATCCAGATAGAACTCAATGCCCAGGACAGCGTAAGAATATAATATAAAAGGCTCAAACACTAATTTTCTATGGTTATAATTTAATACATTGGAATCGTAATCACGATCCAAATCATCAGACCTACAAATATAAAAAGAAAAAAAAATAAAATTTTGTTTTCTATAAAAAAGTTATATTTTTGTTTTCTTTTGAATTTGTAGGTTGATGATTTGGATCGTGATTACGATTCCAATGTATTAAATTATAACCATAGAAAATTAGTGTTTGAGCCTTTTATATTACATATATATATATATATATATATATAATATGGTCTTTTATATATCACTCCAACTCAGTAAATTACATTTAGCTTGAGTCTAATTTTCTGCAATCTTTCTATCACTTCACAATTTTTAATCGTGCATGCCTGGCATAGAGAAACATTTTTTCACTACAAATGTTCACCCAATTTCAGTCTCAAAAGCCACTCAAGATAGAGGTTTACTGTTAAAATGTTAATGATGATTGAGGTGTCGCATGAATAAAGCAGGATCTTGTAGGAAGTAAAAATTATGAGGATAAGGACAATAAATAATGATTGTCATTAGATTTGGACTATTTAACAATAATTTCCAATGGTTTATTTAATAATTTAAAATATTATTCACTCGAAATACACGTCAAAATTTCACGGTTTTCCTATTTGAATTCCACGATAATAAAATACCCATGGAAACTACCTTATTGCATCGTTTAATGTTTGAGCTTGACAACTTTTAATAAAACATTGCAATAGCAATCATAAATATGAATGTAGGTCATTATTTAAAGTAAGAATACAAATAAAAAGATTTGAAATTGACAACTTTTTCAATCTCACTGAAGCAGACGTTAAATCATTGAGAGTATTGTCGCCTTCTCTTTCTTTCTTTCTTTCTGTATGTCTGTCTGACTGTCTTTCCTCTCGGTCAGAACGGGATAGTCCATTGTTTATAATTTATTGACAGGGCATAACATACGCCCTAAATAACTAAAGGTCGTCGTCGTAGTAGTAATAAATATTTAAATATATAAAATAAATATTCAAGTATATAAAATAAATATTTAAATATATGAAATAAATATTTAAATATATGAAATAAATATTTGAATATATGAAATAAATATTTAAGTATATAAAATAAATATTTGAATATATGAAATAAATATTTAAGTATATAAAATAAATATTTGAATATATGAAATAAATATTTAAATATGTAAATATATAAATAAAAGAAGGTCTGCGCGACTATATTCATGGTTAGAAATCGGTACAAGCAGCAATATCAAACGACCCAAAATGTGACGCACAAATCCGAACAGCGAAAAAGGCTTCCAGAAACTAAACAAAGTATTAAGTGAAAGGAAAATTTTAATTTTCTAATCAAGGAAAACAGTGCTGAACTGCTACGTCATATCTCTCAACCCATGTCACAATATTGCAATAACAATTCTAAATGCGAATGCAGCATCACTTCATTGTGATGTAATTTTTAGCAAGCTTGTTTTGTTTGATCAATTACGACTGAATACACATTGGGTTCCCGATACCTGTGCCACATCTAAGCTTTGCTTAGAAAATATGAATGCAGGTCATTATTTAAAGAAGTAAGAGGATACAAATAAAAAGCTTGACAACTTTTTCCATTTTATTAAAGAGAACGTTAAATGTATGAACATCATATCCCACTCTATCTCCCCCCTCTCTCTGTTAAACCAAACAGCGTCTCTGATATGTCTTTTCTGTCTCTCCTCACTTTAAGAAAATTATGCAATAACGCTCATAAATATGAAATTTAGGTCATTACTTGAAGAAGTAATTGAATACAAATAAAAAAATTCAAAATTGACAAGTTTTTCTATTTCATTACTGAGAACGTTAAATATAAGATCTTTTATCTTCCCCCTCTATAACCCTCCCCTCTCTCACTGTCTCTGTGAAACCAAACAGCGTCTCTGATGTGTCTTTTCCGTCTCTCCTCGCAATCAAAACGAATTAGCTTATTATTTATGAAGTATTGACAAGGCATAATGTACTCGTTATGAAACTAGCAACATTACGTGAGAAATGAAATGCTTAGTGTTAGATAAAGGCTGGTCGTATTTGTTATTGACTTCATTTCTTTTTTTTCCTTTGTATTTTCAGGCGAGTAATTCTAACAGCATTGGTGGAACGCTACCAATTCCACCAGAAATTCGGCGGATAGCTATAAATAAGAATTCCGGCGAAACATTACTGCATCGTTCAGCACGCTGTGGATATGAGGTAAGAACAAAAACAAAAATTTAAAAAAAAAAAAAAAAACCCTCACCCACACGAAAACCTATTCCAGGAAGGTGGAATGTTTTAAGAACCACAAAGATTTTACATTTTCTGAGAGATACTGAATTCTTCAGGTTACCAAGAGATTTTTGAAAGTGCTTGTTCATTTAGTCAGAAGTTTGGCAGTGGGTTAAATCGATAACTTTTCAGTCCAACATTGGGTACAGTTTCTATGGTATCTTTCGCTTTTTAAAAGTTCGCCCATTTCACGAAAGACTTTCAAAAAGTATAGGTTCCGCAACACCATCTCCATCCGAAAAGCGTAAAGCGAAAATGCATTTACCGTTAATTTGGCTGGCAAAACGTTTAAAGTGTTCCCATACCAAACGTACAAAAAATGATACCCGTCTTAATCCTATAACTCTATCTTAAACGTTTGCTGTTGAAGGCTTGAAATGCTTCACTGCTCAGCCACACGTATTTACGTTTTTATACAGTTTTGTAATCACCACTGTTGACTATGCAATTTTACCAATGGGAAATAAGATCTTGCATACTGCATTCGGAATATAGCGTGTTACACGCATCCCTATTGAAAACTACTGTGCTTTCATTCACTGTTTGGTTTCTCTATTTGTCGATGAATATGAATTGCTGCAATTTTTTGGAGTGTGCGCGCGCGGCTCTTTCTTTGCTAAACGCAGTTTGTTACACATATCACCAACGTTACTGCTGAAACTTATTATTCTTGTTTGTGTTCATATCCTTTGTTTGGTCTTCGGCAACCGTCAATTGGTTTAATTTATTTCACCTGGAGAAATTCAGTGACATATCTGATTCGTTCGGACTTTAATGTAAGACGCCATTTTACCAGTTTGTCGTCCATTTGCTTTCTGCAATAAGCAAAAAGAAACGCTTCGTTATTGGCGGGAAATACCACCCTCCACTGATTTACCGCCAACATCTACCTCTGATGTCGTGGCCCCCAAATAATAAATAGGGGACATGACTGTCGGAGCAACTCTTGTATTTTGGTTTATATATATATGTCAAGTACAAAGATGTACTGAAAAATTTCGGCTCAGCCCACTTCCCAAAATCATAGTCAAATGTGTCAACATCAGATTTTATTTTGTTATTTTATTTTTTTTATTTATTTCTATCCCATCTTGGTAGAACGGAGAATTTTTTAGCACCCCCACGTACATAAACAAAAAATATCTATTGTTTTCTATATAATATTAAAGGATATATAGAAGTTGTTAACAGCATATTCCCTATGATCAGCAGGCCGGATTTCCTGTCTACCAAGGTGGCTAGATAATCCCCATTGTAGATGCCTGCTCAGGCACATTTGTGTTTGTTCAACACCCATAGTCCACCTGTGATTTATACTGCAACTATGCTGAGCGGACCTTAGAGTTTCTGGGAGAATGCGCGGGATCAACAGTCTGAAGAAGACTAGCACGCTCAAAGGCTCGGTCACGATGACTTGTGACTTCGTGCTAGCACAACCATCGATGCTTCCCAAAGGTTCAGTTTACTCAATTTCATTCACAAGGCGTGGGTCAACCCGTGGTATGGTTTTCAGGCACTTTCCAAAGTTGCCGCTCACTGGGGTCGCCTCCACCAGATCGATAACATGAAGATGTCGGCTTCCTGACAAATCGACCATGGTAAGATGCGAAAGCCAAAGTCAGAAAGCGAAGGTTCTAACCACTCGGCCACGTAGTAACCATTATACCACATCGAAGTATCCCAATTCCTAGAATAATATATCCAAAAGGCCTCTAAAATGGATACGGATACCCCAAGATGGATTTTGAGTGCCTTTTTTTTTATTATTATTTCCAGAACAAAATAATGTCGATTCGGCATTGATGTCGTAGGCGTTAGACCTCCGAAAAATTAACCTTCACATTGTATTTGTTTTCATTCAGTTACGTGCCATACGTGATACAAGCTTAGGCGAACATGTATATTCCGATACATGACTGACGAGGCAGATTTTTTCCCGCAGTCTGTTGCCATTTCTTTCTGCGGTAGACCAGTTGTTATCCAATGCTATAGAACCCGGTCTTTCCTGCTATTTACCCATAGCTTTGGAGAAGAAGAGGATTCATAGTTTTCCCAAGGGTATTAGCGCGTAACAAAAGTAAATAGATTCGACTAGAATTTCTCAATCCGAGCCGCTATCCATTACTCCACCGCGCCTCCTTGTTTACATTACCTATTTCGAAAATACTGATTCCTACTCTTGTGTGGCTTAATACCAAAACAGGAGAAAGCAACTGAATTATGATGAGCTTGAAAGAAAGATAGCAAATAAAAAATAAATCAAAATACATTTTTAAAAAATCATATCTGACCTTGAAGAGTCAAATAAATTGTAGTTTGTAGAGATGAATTTTACAGATATTTCAATGATTATTCCAATCATCATCAGCTTCCAAATTATACATTTCTTTTAGCAAAATACTATGTTTTGTGGAAAAATGATATGCTAAGTGTAGCTAAGATGTGGCACAAGGTCGAAAGTGTGGCGCACCAGTTGAGGATCGAACTCGCTATTCAGTCGTAATTGATCTAGCGAGACAAACTTGTTAACCATTACACCACGTCGAAGTGCCCAATAATGTTCTAAGCGTAGCTTAGATGTGGCACAAGGCCGAAAGTATGAGGCACCCAATGAGGATCGAATTCTTTATTCAATTGTAGTTGATCTGGCGAGTCAAGCCGTCTAGCCCTTGCACCACGATCCAAATTGATTGATTCCAAATTATACTCCATACCGAAAAAAATGGTGGGTGGGCGTCAAAGGGCCAGGAATTGTGAGTTCAATCCCCACTAAGCACTCCTTGAATGTGATTTTCTGTCAAATTTGATTTAGCTCACCTCAATATATATTTGAAACTGAAGTTTATTGACCTTTATACTGTATTTCAGTGATTAAATAAAAGTAAGCCGAAAAGTTTATCGATTGGAGCCCCACCGCCACAGCAGCCTCCCTGACCCAGGAACCTCCACTCGTTCGCTGTTACGCAGACATACCAACGGTGATCTTGCGTTACAAATAAACTTCTGCTGACACTTAATGGAAATCGAAATTCACAAATGGGTCAAGTCAGGCAGTATTTGTTTTGAGCGAGATTTTAGTGTATAACAAATATTATGTGGCAGTTTGTTTTGTTTTTTTATGCACCGTGTCTCTTCAGGACGTTGGTAGTCGTGGTTCTCCACAATTTCCTGTGCTTTGTAACTCTTGGTAAATTTTGTATTTTTGTTATCTCTCCTAATCCATGTCCTGTCAACGATTTACACAAATCTTTAATGTGTCCTGGGTAAGACGATCGACTACGTCCGCATCCTGGGCATGACGATTAACTACTTCCGCGTCCTGGGCATGACGATTAACTACGTCCGCGTCCTGAGTAAGACGATTAACTACGTCCGCGTCCTGGGTAAGACGATAAACTACGTCTAACAACAAAGCCTCGGATTAGGAGGTTTTGAGGAGCGTAGAACCACCTCTTAACTGCTGGTGTCCCCAGATCCACCCTGACCCGGAGTCTTAGCACCTGTTAGGGTCCCAGATATGGGGTCAAAACGCTATGAAAGTGTAAAAATAGGTTTTAATACCAACAATAATTTTTTTTTTTTCTTCGAGGAAAAATTATTACCAGCAATACATTTTTGACGAAAAAAATATTACCAGCAATACATTTTTGAAGAATAAAATATAACCAGCAATAAAAAAAATCTTGTCGGCATTAAATAACCCATTGAGGTTGATATACCGTAAAACAAAATAAACCCAAACCAAAGTCTTTAATATGCCCTGTCCGTGTGAAAATTTCTAGGCCCACTTTTCTCATTAAGTACCTTAGAAATTTCCCGTCTCATTCCGATGTTAACTATAAGTGTCTTCTTTGTTTCCATTTTCCCCTAAAACTGCTCACACCCGCCTAAAATTTCTCTGTGACGAAGATGCAATGAAATATGGGGATGTTTTTTTGTTTTGTGAATGAAGGTAATGAAACTAAAGCGTTGCCTTCCCTCTGTATTGATTTTATTCTCTTCCTGTTCAAAAATTCGAATTAACTTTGCTTAGTTGTCAACAAAGGCATGCATACTCAATCACTTCTTTCGATTGATCTCTTACTACATTCGATTTAAATGATAATTGATTTTGTTTTTACGGAGCAATAATTCGAAATAGTACTGAACTGATCCGTAATATCCGTCTTCCTAATGCTGGGCAATCTCCTCACATTGAAAGAAAAAAACTTGTGGCAATAGAGATATGGTTCTGGAGAAGGTTGTTGTGAATTATCTTTGGCCGAACATGTGAGCAACGACGACGTTTTAAATAAAAGGGAATCTAAAAGGACACTTATAGTTAACATCAGAAAGAGACAGTTGAAATTTTTAGGGAAAAAAAGGAGGAAAGAAGACTTGGAAGTAGGAGGGATGTTAATGTCTTAGTTATTCAAGTTTTACTAATTAACCCATAGCTGGGGGAGAACAGGTGGATTCATATATTTCCCAAGGGTATTTGCACGAATATAATGAACCTAACGGGAACTCGAACTCTGCTCTCCGATTAATAATACCGAACCCTTATTCATTACACCACCCGCACATCCAAGCTTACAACATATCAGGTCTAGGTACTGACCAGGCTCGGCGTTGCTTAACTTCTCTGATTGTAAAGGAATCGGTGTTTCCACTCTTCAGGTCTCAATCAAGAACAAAACATGCATGCTCCCAACGATTAAAATCAAGAGCAGCGGGGGAAAATATATACTACCAGAGAATCAGTAATATGAATTCCAGAAAAATTGCATTAAGACCCAGCAGCCATCCCTTCTGCATCCAGGGGGGGGGGAGGTTGATTTGTTTTTGATGATTTGTCAACCTTTTGCAGGTCATTTAAAGCCAGAAAATATATTTATATTGTAATATTTTTTTAAGATGCTAATGCTTATTACTGATATATTTTCTACGAAGTCACCCATACCTGGGAGAAGAGGAGGTGGATTCATGACATACCCAAAGATATTTACGCGTAAGTGATTATAAGGAACCTGACTGAAATTGGAACTCTTCGATTTCCAATTCCATTAGATGACTCGAACATCCAAGCTTCCAGCGGTCACCCGTATAGGTACTGACCAGGCTCGACGTTGCTTAACTTCAGTGATTGTACGGAAACTCAGATCTCCGATTAACAATTCCGAGTCATTATCCATTACACTACTCGCACATCCAAGCTTACTGTACCTGGTATTCCCAAGCGGTCACTCATCTAGGTACTAGCCAGGCTTGATGTTGCTTAACTTCAGTGATTGTACGGAAACTCAGATCTCCGATTAACAATTCCGAGCCCTTATCCATTACACCACTTGCACGTCCAAGTTTACAGCACCTAGTATTCCCAAGCGGTCACCCATCTAGGTAATAACCAGGTTCGACGTTGCTTAACTTCGATTAATTTGGCACGGAAAATGTAATAGAAGATCATTCTATTATCTTTCCCGGGAACAATCATATCATTTCGCAACTTCGATATTAAGAGGTTGTGGAGCGTTATGTCCTCATCAAGAAGAGTTGTGTTTTTTTTTTTTAAATTTTATTTTTTATTCACTGTTTTTTGTTATTTTCACTTTATATCAAAAGACTTGATGGCGTTTTCGAATGTCCTGTTGATAAAGCTACTTCAAAACTCATGAATGTTTGTGTAAATGAACCTATTAGCAGTCATCATTGTTACCTTCCTTTATCTAATTTTATTTTATTTTATTTTTTTCTTAAATAAATATATTTACATTACAGGACGTGTTGCTCCATTGTTTAGAAACGAAATCTGTCGACGTGAATGCACGTGACAATGCTGGCTTCACACCTCTGCACGAATGCTGCGTCCGGGGAAACCTCCTTATCGCTCGTTATCTCATCTCATACGGCGCTGACGTTAATCAGTGCTCCCAGGACGGAATCAGGTACGTACCAATTTCATATTGTTTTACATAGTTTTATAAGTTCTCTCTATGTTGTGAACGAGAAAAATATCTTAACTTTAGGCCAGTGTTTCTCAAACTTTTTAAGCAACGGCCCACCTAAGAGCAAATAAAAATATCATGGCACATTTAGCAAAACTTAAAGGGTATACATTTAAATGTTATGAAACAAAAACATGTTTTTTTTTGTTTGTTTGTTTTTTTAAATACAAGCACAAATATGAACTTACTTTGTTTCAATGTTTCTATTCAACTAAATGTGCAGATTTAGTGTGAAATCTGTTTTCTTTTCTTTTTTTTTTTTTCGTGATTTCTTCAATGTTTGCTCGAATGTGCAATAAGCAGAGCCTCATTTCTTTTTCAGTTGAGCCTAGACTTTCTCGTTTCTTATTTATTAAGTTATTTAGAGTTGAGAAACTTAATTCACATAAATAATAAGAAGAAAATTGCAATAAAACTGATAAAGCCTTTTTAGCTAATGTGGGACATTTTCCTTTTGTATTGAAATCCAAAATGTATCGATGGATATCATCGAATGTTTTATTTTGAGCCGTCGATCACTAGAAATGACAATATTTCGCGGCACACTTAAGAGAATTGCGCGGCACATTAGTGTGCCGCTGCAAGTCTGTTGAGAATTTCTGCTTGAGGCATTTGCACATTTCGCTAAATGTTCGAATAGCGTAACAATTAACGTCACTGGAATTGAAATCGGCACGCCGATTTCAAATACCAGTAACACCCGTGACATTCACTTTCGCACTAATCCCCTTGAGAATGCTTGTAATCCATTTCTTCTCTCACTGACTCTAACTGTAGCAACGTGGAACTGACTTCCGAGTGGATGCTTCCCCGATTGCTACGATCATAACCTAGGTCGAATTCCATGTACGCACTTACACAACAGCCTCAATTAATAAGCCTCTACCTTGAATGGCTCTTGGGACTTTTATTTGGTGAACAACAGTAAAGATTTTTGTTTATAAGTAAATAGTTATTTGAATGGCAGTTTCGAACGACTATCTGAATTCAGAAGCGTAGAAAGTGCAACGGGAAACCACTTCTTTATCTTTCCCAAGATACTAGTGTTGTTCCAAAATAATAAAAAAAACAAGGAATCTGCGGGGAGATATAGCATTAAAAAAGTTACTTCGCCACAGTCATCTAGTAAGAATCGCACCACATTATTCAGATCCGTACGGCCAACACTCTGACACAATGTGGATATAGTGCGGTACGGAGGACTTCCAACCGAGATATCAACTCGCGACATCAATAACGGACACGTTTTAAGTATATTTTACCTAGGTAGTGTGGTTCCAGATAAGTGTGCAAATCTCTCTCCTTGTAACACATTTCTTTATCATCTCTCATTTGCGTCTCTGTCTTTAGGCAGATTGCACTCAGAGGCGACTCCGTCAAAGGACAGTGGCAACTGAGAAAAATTATACTGAAGGGTGCCCAGCCCTGAAGCACAGCTTCCCCGAGTCCGCGCCCTCTCATTGCACCAGAAAGAGGGATCAGTGCTCGCACCGAGGCCAGCACAACCAATGGTTGCGGGGACTGCGGGCAATTTTTGATCATGGTCCGGGTGTACGCGCTCGGGTCCCCACCTTTTTAAAAAAAGATCTTGTGTGACAAGTCGTCTTAGTGGGGAAACAGAGTAAATATAGTGTGGTTCCAGATCATAGCAGTGAGGTACCCAAATAGGATCGAAAGCAATGGTACCAAATTGGTCTTCAATACTAACAATATACGGCAGGGACCCTTTACATTTACGGAGCTGAATTTTGTCGATAGGCTGCAATAATTATGCAGCTAGCTTAACACCGCATGGTCACATGGTTACCTTATATTTAATCTATAATAAATAATAATGAATATGGCACAAGGCCATAAATTGGAGGGTGCGAAGAGATGTAGGTTTTAACTATCATGACTCAAGCAAATTTCATTGTTCGTTCAATATATGTTATTTATTCTGATTCTTTCATTCAACCATGATTAAGTGCCTTGACATGGTGGAGTAACTTGTGTGCTCCTGTGGCACAGAGAACTATGCTGGCGTCAGTTTATCGCCTGGCAGGTCTGACAAGGCAGGGCTAGACAAAAATTTAATTACCTTGAGGAGCAAACCTCAACAACCAAAGTTCCTGGAGGGTGTAGCAACTCTCCGGTTATATATTCAAGCATTAACAAACCAAATTAACAACTTGGCTTCTTCATAGATTCGTTTTTTGTATTTTTTTGGTGGGGGGGAGGGGTATCAACCCATTGCAGATTATTTAAAATTAGAAAATATTTTGATTGAAAGACTTTTAATTTGGTGAGGTAATAATATTTCAATGATACAAGTTTTACTAATTAACCTATAACTGGGGGAGAAGAGGTGGATTCATACTTTTTACTAAGAGTATTTGCGCGTAAGGGAATATAACGAATGCTTATTTGAACTCGTCTCTCCGATTAACAATACCGAGTTATTATCGATTACACCACCCACACATCCATCCAAGCTTACAGCACCTGGTATTCCCAAACGGTCACCCATCTAGGTACTAACCAGGCTCGACGTTGCTTAACCTCGGTGATCGCATGGGAACTCGGATCTTCGATTAACAATTCCGAGTCATTATCCATTACATTACTCCCAAATTCAAATTTACAGCACCTGTTATTCCCAACGGGTTACCCATCTTGTTACTGACCAGGCTCGATGTTGCTTAACTTCAGTAATCGTAAAGGAACTCAGCCCTCCGATTAACAATTCCGAGTCCTTATCCATTACAACACTCGTACATCCAAGATTACAGCACCTGGTATTCCCAAACGGTCACCCATCTAGGTACTAACCAGGCTCGACGTTGCTTAACTTCGATGATCGCATGGGAACTCGTCTCTCCGATTAACAATACCGAGTCATTATCCATTACACCCACCCACACATCCAAGCTTATAGCGCCTGGTATTCCCAAGCGGTCACCCATCTAGGTAATAACCAGGTTCGACGTTGCTTAACATCGGTGATCGTACGAGAACCGATGTTTCAACGTGATGTGGCCGTAAGCTTCGACTGTTGTGCACTCCGGCCTTCATCAGGTGTTTGTCGATTCGGGTAAACTTCAGCAAATTTCGAAACGAAGTTTTGATTTAATCTACGGGGACAGATTGATCTCGTCCCGCTGTCCATATTTCAGAATATCATGTCTTGGTCTTATTTAGGAGTGCTCAGTTATTGCTCGACCCTGTTTCCATAAGTCGAAGTCTGAATTAATATGTCACCAGGTTATTTATTGTCCCGTGGGACAATCCTGAGCCTAGAGCTTGAACACTTTTACTTAATGTTCTACTGTGATGTGAAATGACACGAAATACTTACAGTATAAGAATGCATTAGCCTGCTACCCACCCACACGATCTAATGTGGCAGAAAAAGAAAATTAATTGACCGAAAAAAGAATGTGGAGGGAAATAGGAAATCAAGCGAAATATTCCCACACTGTTGGAGAATTTTGTTTTCTGTCATCTATGATGGGAGTGGAAGTGTGAAGCGGAAATATAGGGAACTATTAAAACAAAACGAAAAGAACCGATGTCTACACTAATGCTAAGTTAATTTAATTTTAAAACGAAACACATGATTACCCTGTTCTGTGACAGACTCTCTTGTTAAGTAATTTATACAAAAGCTTTTACCAGAATTTTCTTGCAATGAGTAAAGCATGCGTCTCAAATGATGACAGGGCCGAGAGTGAGACAAAAGGGGTGTCAGTTTTTTTTTTTTTTTCCGGTGTGCTTGTCTCTCAACGATTTACAATTATTGAATACAGATTCACTATCGAGATTCGTACTAAATGGTTGATTTGACTTATATAGCGTGCATTTGGGCTGTAATTTTTAACAGCCACGGTAGGGAAATTGGAAGACTGACGAATCGGAGAGCCGATTTCAAATTCTAGTCGAGTTCATTACATTCACTTACGTACTAATACCCTTGGGAAAGGTATGAATCCAAATATATGCAAATAGAAGGACAGACATTGTTCTATAGCCTTAGGTGGCAACCGGTCTAGAAGGAAAACTCTGAATTCAAAACTGCATGTAGTCCTGGCGAAGCACATACAATGCAAATAAGGAAAGAATTGTTTTCGCATTGATTTGATGATTATTGTCGACTCTTTTTTTTTTAATTTATACAACATTGGTTAAAGGAATTAACAGTAGCCGCGATCATCGAGTCAATGCAAATGATTCTTTGCAGAGTATATGCCTCGCCTGGGCTATATACAGTTTTGAATTCATAATTTCCCATCTCCTAGACCGGTTGCCACCCAAGGCTATAGAACCCGATTTGTCCCACTATTTACCTATAGCTGGGGAAGATCTGTATTCATACTTTTCCCTTTTAGCACGTAAGTGAATGTAATGAATTCGATTGGAATTTGAACTCTGATCTCTGATTCCTCAATCCGAGGCGCACCCTAATTTCTTCGTTAAGGATATATTAATTTATATTTTTATATTTCGTCTCATTTTCCAGTTTCTGGTGCATATTTGTATATAAATTACCAAATATCTGCCTATGATCGGCTTTCTTAAGCCTTTATCAAAGAGGTTTTTGTATTATGTCAGTTTCGTCATTTTTCAAATATCGCGTCTTTACGTGTTGCATTGTTTTAAGTCTGTTATATATATATATATATATATATATATATATATATGCATGTTTTCATCTCTAGTCATGATGATAATGATGAAATTTGTCGTTTAAATACAGGAAACGGTAATTGTCGGTTGAAATTTATAAACCTTTCTCTTAAAATAGTTTTTTTCAGGAAAATGGGTATTTTTAGTCTACTAACTCTTATTGCTCTTTCTAATACTGATTGCAGTTTCCTTCCTAACTTTTTGCTTAAGGTAGTGTGGAAAGTCAAAATCTTGATATGTCCTTATTTTCCCTTCTACTGACATGATACATTTTAGTTTGTACTGTTGGGGGTGTCCAGGTGATGTGATGTCTGTGTTTTGTTAAAAAAAAATCTTTGTTTTTATGATTCTGTGGCGCCAGTCTATAGGGGTTAATGAAAGATTATCTTTAGGACTTAAAGCATTTATTCAATTGAATCCATTTTTAATCATTGTTCAGATAAAACCGTTTTTACAGGTTATCACGAGCAAAGGCTCCAAATGTGTTCATATATTAAGTTTGGTGAAATCTTAAACACGTTAGTGAATAAATACACACACACACACACACACACACACACACACACACACACACACACACACGCAGTCTCAGTTTATTTAGGAGATTGAATATAGCATTCATTAAACAGGAAGAAATCGACCTAAAGTCTGCAAGATTTTTTTTCAGTTACATTCGTTTTTTACGCGACCCCCACACTTTGGGGAAGCTTGGTGTAACCTTTCATTTTAAGTGTACACGAGATCTCTTCGAGAAATAGGCTCTCCATAAAATTAGTTTACAACTCTCAACTGATGACTTCTTTCAATTTGTTTATCGTCTGAGTTGGCTCCTGTAGGACACACCTAAATGTCTTTCATACGAAAATCTGCTTCCCCGCACAACTTTTTTTTTTTTAAGATTAACGGTAATCCTGAATGTTCCCAGTTGTAATGAGATAAATATTTACTGTTCGAAAAGTTATCTGAAACTTATTATTTGCAAAGCTGTTCCTACTTTTACAATTCCTAAAAGACCGAAGACGCATTGAAATAGCGAAAGATGTTTTCTGATGTAATGAATATGCATACAACTGGGTTTCCCCTTTACAGTAATATGATTGGCTGGTGTCAGCCATAAATACAGACTGATATGGAGGTACAGAGTCTACGCCTATTGCCTACAACTACGACGAGGACCAGTCCATTACGTTTATCTGCTAGATTGTCCTACACGGGTACAGTAGTCAACAACCACTTTGCTACTTCGAACAAATATATCCCTTTTCCGGGACATATCACTTTCTAAAAGCGAAGCAAAGTATTAAGAAACACCAAATTTCGTTAGAAACTAAATTTAAAAAAAAAAATGCCGAACTGCTACATTTATATCAATCTTTCTATATGACAATGATTGCGTAACTATTTCCTCAGAGATGAAAAATCTGGATGCAATAGAGGTGGGATACTACAGAATGAGAATATCATGGATATAATACGTGAGCAACAAGGAAGTTTAAGGAAAATGAAAACAAAAGACACCCATACTTAAAACTTTGTTAGAAACCGGAACACATAATGAGGAAAGAAGGTTTAGATAATTTGACACTCACAGAATATCTTGAAGACAAGCTCGGCAAGTAGAGAATAAACTAGTTGATAAGCTTGGTAACATGGCTGGCAGAAGAGGAAACGATTGTAAAAAGACAAATATTACTGTCCTACAAAGGATAGGAAGTAGTGAAGAACTATGATCTCCCACGTTCTGAAGGGCCAAGGCACATAGCAGAAAATGAAGTGTAATATTCTTGTTCATTGTCGGATTACATGAGACCGTGGAAAAGTAACCAGGTCTACGTCATATCCTTTGAAGGCGTGGACAACAACAATGTCGCCCCCCCTCCCGAAAGTCTCTCTCGTCATATTACTGTCCGAATAGATTGAATAAAGAACCGACTAAACGTCATTTACGCACGCACATACCACAAATTAATGTATGCAAAAATAAGGTCAGGAAGAAAAATAAAGTTTTTTTTCTCTCTTTCGCTCTCTCTCTCTTTCTCTCTCTCTCTCTCTCTCTCTTTCGCTCTCTTTCTCTCTCTTTCTCTCTTTCTCTCTCTCTTTCTCTCTCTCTTTTTCTTTTTCTTTCTCTCACTTTCATTCTCTTTATTTTTTCTTTCTCTTTCTCATTCTTTCTCTCTCTCATTCTCTCTCATTCTTTCTCTCTCATTCTCTCTCTCTCATTCTCTCTCATTCTCTCTCTCTCATTCTCTCTCATTCTCTCTCTCTCATTCTCTCTCATTCTCTCTCTCTCATTCTCTCTCTCTCTCTCATTCTCTTTCATTCTTTGTTTGTTTCTCTCTCTCATTCTTTCTGTTTCATTCTCTCTCTCATTCTTTCTGTTTCTCTAATTCTTTCTGTTTCTCTCATTCTTTCTGTTTCTCTCTCTCTCTCTCTCTTTCTGTTTCTCTCTCTCTCTCTTTCTGTTTCTCTCTCTCTCTCTCTTTCTGTTTCTCTTTATTATTATTATTATTATTATTATAGTATACTCACTCGACTACTTTTTAACAACCCTGACATTTTGTTTGCTATTAATATCATGGGAATTTGAGTTTTGATCGGTGAGCAAAGCATATTACGCTGCTTCTGAAATCAGGTTGAGGATCGTAACAAAGAAAAGAAGATCAAATGAAACAACCTGCAGTCTTATTGTTTCATATATTTATCAAACGAAAGCTGGTATACTGTGTCGTGTTCGACACTGTCTCTCACCAGACTCTATCTTACACCTTTATAAGTCTACGATTCGTCTATACATTGAATATTGCTGTTACAGATGGTCTTGTGCTTCTGCTATGTATTTAGTGATTCTAGACAAAATCCAAAGAATCTGCAATATTATCAGTCCTGATATGGTATCTCGGTTTCAGTCAATTTCCCAGTGTTATAACGTATTTTCCTGGTGCTTTTTTTTTTCTATAAATATTTTCCTAGCATTTTTTTTTTTGATATTAATGATAACAATAATAATAATAATGGTACTAATAAATATTTAATGATAATAATAAATAAATAGATAAATAAAAAGAAAAAAAAGTCTCGTATTAGATGGGGAAAAGATGGGTATATTCTATGTCGGTCCACTTTATAACCGGGTGTATAAACTGGCCATGATCTGGTATCGTTCCACGAGCTTCTTCATCCCTTCCGAAAATAAACTTTTTCCGTTGCTTACGAAACCTACGTCCGTAGCGTTTGTTTATATGGCGCACAACGAGCACAAGCTTTACGGCACCCCAAGGTCATCGTGCACTATGGGCTTGTGCAGATCCATAGTTGGTTCCCACGATTGTCGCCGCTCTTTGTGCAAACGTGATTTGTCGGTCTTCCTTGACCAAGGCATCCACCCTCTGGATATGCGCGATGTTATTTGGGCGACCAGATCGGCTTTCGTCAATTACACTTTCTTCTTTTTTTTTTTTTTTTTTTTTTTTTTTTTTTTTTTTTTTTTTTTTCTTTTTTTCTTTTTAAAGCGTTTTACTCACTTTCGCTGATTCGGCTGCATGCTCCATACTGCATCGTGTCAACATCCGGCGATACATTTTCTTCTGCCCACACCGCACTTCGGCGAGTTGTTCATCGATAGCTTAATCGCAGAGAGGAGCGTTCATGCCTCTGACTTCGTTGCTCCCTACCACTCGACAACGAAAGGATGCTGCGTGATGTCGCACGCCAGAGTCCTCCTGTTGTTTTTACCGCATAATTTTAAAATTGCTTTTACTTTCTGATTTAGCCTCGTATTTTGTCCGATGTACGAACAAATACCAGAAACATGGAGAAAACTGCCCGTAATATCGATATAGTGTCAAAGGAACGGTTTTTTCCATGATACCGCTTTTCTTTTTTCTTTTTTTTTTGCTTTTTTTTAACGATTATTCGAATTGGAATAAAATCTAAACCGAAGATGAAAGTTAATTTATACATTTCTTTTTAGTTTACTACAAAAATAGTAAATACTATTTGATTGTTTATTTATAATTTTATATTTAGAACATTCTAAAAACTAATACACTATTTATCATTTAGCAATTTATAAGGAAATAAATATGAAAACAATTTTTTATTCATACATTTACGAACTTACTAAACTATCGGAAACCAATTGTAATGACAAAAGTACAGGCTTGTGCAGGCTTTAAGAAAGCTTTATTCAACTGAGAATACAAGGTTTGCGTATAGTGTCCTTTTATAGTCCCATTAAACAGAAATAGCTCTCTCAAAGAGTAGACCAACAAAATAAGGGGCTAGACCACTCTTGATTATTCAGAGCACGAACTATATGGAAATCTTTATTATTTACCATTTTATAAAGTTTGAATCAATTGGCAACAAGCCGATGTTTTGACAGATATTCCAATAAATAGTGGAAATAAACAATTTAATAAATTAATAGTGTTTATTTTTGTTGACAATTCTGAAGAAGAAATAAAATGTATAAATTCATTTTCATGGGCACCTCGAGGCGGTGTAATGGTTAGCAAGCTTGTCACGCGTGCTCCCTACTTTCGGCCTTGTACCACATCTAAGCTACGCTTGGAAAATCACTATAAATTCATTTTCATATGTTTAGGTTTTATTCCAATTCTAATCATCGCTTTTTAAAACTGAACATTACCGAAGTGTGAAGGTTGTTTTTTATTTAAAAGAAAGAAAGAAATGTGACCTTGGGAGAAGCCGTCCTTTTTCATATTACGTCTCTTTGTGGGCGCATTTCTCCATGTTTGCTTAAATACCTATATTCTGCGCTGGTGGCCTACTTTGGATTGTTATCCCGGTTGGAAATATGAACCCTTAAGTTCTAGAAGAGTCGAAATCCTATAAAAGTTGCGATTGCTTCTTCTAATACAAATTCAAATCGCTGCTAATACTCCCGAGATATGTGAAAACAATAACATTAATGGATTTTTTTCTAATCTGATATTACACCTCATTATTTATAGCGTCTAATACAATAACAGTAATTTTTATCCTGCAAATATTAAAAGTATTTGACACCTCACCGATACACGCTTAGGCGATCATTTATCTTTCGATACATGACGGACGAGGCAGTAGGTTGCCATTTCTTTCTGCGGTAGACCAGTTGCCATCCGGTCTGTCCTGTGGTGGGAGGAAAAGAAAGGGTTCATACCTTTCTCTTTGCACGTAAATGAATGTAATGGATTCTACTAGAATTCGAACTCGGCTCTCCGATTCCTCAATCCAAGCAGCTATCCATTACTCCACCGTGCCTCCTCTGGTAATACGAATACTGAATTGTGAGTGTTATCTCGACAGTGTGTCCCATATTTGTGTCTTTGTGCCAAGTCCACAATACGCTGCATAAATATCTATTGTAATGCTGTATTTAATGCAAGGACAACGAAATGTAAGAGATATGCCACCATTTTTTTTTTAAGTAGGCCACAATGCCCGACATGGTTTTCGATTAAACGATGCGAGCTAGATCTCCGCTATTTCAACTGACATTTGGAGATATCTGCCATTGCGAACTGATAAGCTCACAAGTCAGACGCTACGTGATCTGGAAGTGAATGACTGTGCTCTCTATCGACGTAGTTTTCTCGTTGCAACCCATTCGCTTTATGTGCCTACCAAGTTGAACGTAGGTAAATAATCTCGTTTCTATATCTATACGAGTTTATTTTTATCTGTCCGTCTCGGCCTGTGTGTACCTCGCGATACAAATCGTTCGTGTTTCCCAGCCTTTTCACAACCAGCGGAGCACAAACATTTTTGTCAACGCCCCCGCCTGCCAAATTTCAGTTCGCATATTATACTGAATTCAACTTTAGTACAAAAATAAGTGTAATATTGTTTTATAAATATCAGCGATTAAGATGATAAAAAAATTATTTGATAGCTTATCGCAATATTTTCAATGCTTACTAGCTAAGGATCTTATTCTAGGTTCAATGCCGCTTAGAAGTAATCATAGATCTTGTTTTGTAATTTGTAGGTGGTTTCTTTGTTTAGTAAGAAGTTGTGTAACTGCGTTGAAACCACATTCAGTCATATAGGAAGTTGGAAAAGCCACGAAGAAAAGTTTTAGAGCTTCCCACGATTTTAGATACATTTCAGAAATTTCTTTTGTAGCTGTTATATTCCGTGCTAATAGGAATATATATATACTCGAAAAACAAGGTGGATAAAATAAGTAGAGATTTATTGTATAAAACCAGTCCAATAAGAATAAAGGTAACAGTTATGCACAAGGTCGTCGCAAGTCAATCCAGTAGTGAGTGCTACTATTGGAAGGTCGGTAGTTCTCGCGTAAGTCTAGGTCGTACTCAACAGATCCTAGCTAGTAATACCCACGGGGTAGGATGTGACACAAGGCCGAACTTAATGTGGTGCAACCCGAGCCCGTAGGCACGGCCAAACTTTCCTTGTAAATTCCGCATAAACGGATTTGTGTTTGCCTGCTTCCACGGACGAGACACTTCGACAGAGTCTCGTCCGGGTTCCTCTCTGCCCGAAACCAGAGAGTTTGACAGCCCAGTTGGAACAGATTTCAGCTGGGCAATATTTACTAGCTCCCGCCTACTAGAGTAGATGTGGCACAAGGCAGAGTTTAACGTGGGACATCCCAGCCCGTAGGGTCGGTCAAAAATTCCCGGTAGAACCGGCATAAACGGGTTCGGGTCTGTCTGTCATCTAAGTATAGTACACCTTAAAAATATGTTTTACCATATATATATATATATGAATTTCTGTTTTTTAATCGGAAATAAATATTAAGACCAATATTTTCGTCTGCGCCCCACCACTGTCTTTGTTCAGGGACGACTGAATAGATTTGTATTTCGCAGTGCTCTTTGTTCAAGCGGCTGAACACGTAGCTCGGGCGTTCGAAGCAAAGCAGGATTCACTTGGTAATTTTTATATATCTCTTTGCCTTTAGTTCAACAGAATTTACGAGCAAGCTAACAAAGTTGGAGTGAAACAAATACAAAGACTCACATTGCATTATATATATATATATATATATATATATATATATATAATAATTTAAAAATCATATTTTTAAATAAATAAATAATTATATTTAGGCTCTACTTTTGTATCGAGCACTGTTTTTTAAAAATAATAACAAAAATACTAAAGAATTTTGGATTATTTACCTAACGAGTTTTTCCTATTTTCTATATATTTTCACACACACACACATATATATATATATATATATATATCTATATATATATATATCCTACCGCAAATATTAATTCCTCTTTCAGCTCCGACAGTATCTTATTCTCTTGTACAGACTGCTTTACTGTGATATCATTTGATCAAACAGAATTCGTTTGCATAATTTCTCGTGTATATATAATTGTAATGACTGTTTTGGTATTTGAAGCTAGAATGTCTGGGTTTACATGTGCAATTCAAGTCACACGCCTTAAAACGAAGCTGGCCTTATTGACGCTTAGTGTTGACCTCAGTGTCCACACACACACACACACACACACATATATATATATATATATATATATATATAATCCACAGACAGTTTCGCTGTAACATTGTTCATCAGTGTGGTTAGACGTCCGGTTGCCTCCAACTAGGATCGAAACCCAGCTGAATTGACGTCAGTCGTAGAACCTACCCCAAAGCCATTGGGGCACAGCAGGGATGAGGGGGAATTTAAGCTTATTTATTTTTAGATAAACATATATATATATATATATATATATATATATATATATATATATATATATATATATACGCCCGCTCAGCGTAGTTGCATTATAAATCGCAGGTGAACTCTGTGTGTGTTGAATAAACACAAATGGGCCTGAACAGGCGTCAGCAACAGGGATTGCTTAGTCGCCCTAGTAGATCTGCATCCTCAAATATGTGTGACCAGCCATGATTATTTTATACAGTGTGTGTGTTTGGAAAAGAAGATAAATATTCATAGGAATAATTAACTGGGAACAAAGAAAATAACTTTGCATCCTGTTGAATGGTAAACGAAGAAGACTCGAAACGCCAGATACGATGTCTATCCAGAGCGATTCTAAGAATGTCATGGGCAGAACACGTGCGCATTGAGGGGCTTCTCAAGAAACTAAAAAGAACTTCATCGTTAAAATTTGATGGAGGTGGAATTTTTGAGAGACAACGAGGAAGAATAGCTTCGAAAACTAAATACTCACTGGACTTATCGAAGAGAAATGGCGAGATTTTTGTTTTTTTTTGTTTTTTTTTTTGAATGAATATCAGAATTGGGATACACAATAAACGGTGAAGAGTAAAACGTTGCTTAAAACTACAATGAGACAGGATATTGTGGAGAGTCATAATCGCCTACTTAACGAAGAGACACGGCATCTATAAATAATAAAGAAATGTGACGAGAAAACAAAGAAAATAAACGAAAACTAAGGATTTGGTTCTTTTTACTCCGGCTCGTGACTCCCTTGATTCATTATCATTAATAATGAAATTATTATTAATAAGAAGAAGAAAAGTGACAGCGAAAATTACTGACGTCTCGGAGGATGAGAAGGGCGTTCCAGTTCATTTTTGTTCTTTATTTTATACACACACACACACACACACACACAGTGAAATAATCTCATATCATTAAAAGAAACAAAAAAGTCTGCCTACCCATATTCAAGGATATCTCGAGTTTATAAACAAGGTTAACATAACATATTTTTTGCCTTTTCTCATATTATCTATCTGTTTTTTTTCTCTCTCTCTCGTCTCTGGTTTTCTCTCTCTCTCACACTGGTTTTCTCTCTCTCTCTCTCTCTCCTCTGGTTTTCTCTCTCTCACTTCTCTGGTTTTCTCTGGTTTTTCTCTCTCTCACTTCTCTGGTTTTTCTCTCTCTCACTTCTCTGGTTTTTCTCTCTCTCACTTCTCTGGTTTTTCTCTCTCTCTCTTCTCTGGTTTTCTCTCTCTCTCTTCTCTGTTTCTCTCTTTCGTCTCTGGTTTTTCTTTCTAGCTTTTTCTCACTCTTTGTCTCACTCTTTCTCTCTTTTGAAATGTGAGCCAACCATCTCACGTGACCCGGACACGTGATTTCCTCAAACGTAGAAGCCAGGACGCTGTTTTCGCAGTAATTGACGAAGGTGGCGGAAAGAGACACGTTCTTTCTATTATTTATTTATTCATTTTATTATTATTTATTTATTTATTCATTTATTTGCATTGTGTTGTTTCATGCATTTATTTATATTATTTACGCTTTTTTTTTTTTATTTTTATGCCGCGAATGAGATAGTTGAAAGCGGCGGTAACTGCAGCCTTTGGAGGTGGCGTGGGGGAGGCGGCTCGAGCATGCCGAATGACGGCTTACGTCAGACATCAAAAGCTTCGCCAATAGGCGACGTTGCGCACTCGTTTGCTCCGGCTTTTCTAGTGCACACGGAGATTCGATCGCGGGTGTGTTACAAAAAAAAAAAAATAAATAAATAAAACAAGGCAAAGAAAAAGCTTTGCCAGTGATAGCAAACATCTCAGGGCGGGTTGAGAAGGTCGGATATGCGTGTCCCCCTCCTTGCCACCCCAAAAAACTGACTTGAATAGCATAAACCGATCTCTTCCTAATTTGCAAATCCTTCTCGAGTGAGAGTGAAGAGGAGAGATGCTTTCGCGCTTAGGTGTTTGCGCGCGCGTGTATATAATATATATATATATATATATATATATATATATATATATATATATACAAACCTCATCTTCCAAGTCGTCAACGCTGTATTTCAAAATTTGCGGGCTTACTGGAACAAAGCTTAGTTCTCAAAGTGACCACTTGGCGGCGGTAGCGGGCCTTTCAGTTGTAAACAAAGACGGAAAGTGCGATACATTAGCGTGTACGTGAGAAAGTAGCTGTGAGAAATCTATCCGTTTTGTTATTTCGATTAATTAGGTATATATTTATTTATGCAATATATACGTTTATAGTATTTAAATTATGATAATAACTACTGGTAGTTACTATAGTGGTTTTATATCTAGAAAAAAAAACTTCTTCAAGGATACATAACCCAGTGGAGAACAGGGTTAGCTGGTCCAATGACTTTACACAAACAATTGTGTGTTCAATACCCGGCTACGACAGTGGTGAACAAAAAAATTGGGGAGCTTGAGTTAAAAAGGAGATAACTGAGACATCCGGATGGGCGATGGCACGTGGAACGAGAACAATCTAACCCCGTGGACGAAACAAATGGTTCAGTTTGAAATTCCAATCACCTTAAGAAGGCCAGAGCGTACAACGACCGAAACATGGTGAACATGACAATAAAGATGAGGACAACAGTCCGAGCAATGTAAATAACTAATTTATAATTAAACTTGTTGTAATGTTCTTACAATTTGACTTACAGGGTGTGGCTATGAGATTTTAGAAGCTGTTTGTGATGATTATTGTCCCAAGCGTTTTGGGCCATTCACTAACCATTTTCAGAGTGTTAATTGTTAATGTTTCCTATGTTTGTATTCAAAGTTATATTGTGTTTGATCTCTGTAAGAAGAAATGTGATTGTGATTCCGTGTTGGTGTGTCTTTTAAATGTGTGCGTGTGTGATAAGATGTTGTTAAGATATACTATATGGCTAAAATTTGTTCAATATCAGGGATGAAAACTGAGGTCAACGCCGATTGGCAACAGTCTATTTTCCGCTTGAGGTCAAGTCTGAAAATTACATCGCTACTCGATGTTTTATTTGTATTTATTTAAGTAATCCGTCTAACCTCGAAGCCGTATCATAAACTGCTAGCATTTATATTCTTTCTTTATTTACCTGTTACTTTATTAATTAATGCACATTCTTTTATTGCTATTTTGGACTCTTTTTTTTTTCTTTTCCTGATGTTGTTCTTTCCAACAGCGTCGCAACGTCAGTTTTTTTTTATCTCGTCTGAACGTAACTAGTTTTTATTAAATATTTTTCCGTCTCTCTTTCTTCCGCTTAAAATGGATCGCTGATTTGTCCTGCTTCAGCGATCACTACCAGCGATAATGGCTTCAAATCAGTCGATTGGTTTTTGTCAGCCAACGAAACTTCTCATTTGTGGTTCAGTCAACTACCTCCATCTTTTATTATTTATTTATTTTGCAATCATATGGTTCCAGCTTGTCTCGTTCTGATCTTGCTACTATTACTGTAATCAACAGTGCTATTAGTTTACTATTGGTTTACTAGATAAATTAGTTCGTTTTTATTCCATTTCTTTTAATCCTATTATTCGTCAACAATTTTAAGAAATCAGTTAGTAATATATTCTCCTCCACTGTTCACGACATCTTGCCAACTTTCCACTAGTTTGTCAATTCCATGACGATAGAAATCACTGGGTCTTGACTTGAAGAAATAATTCAGCCATGTTTTCCCGATTCATTGTATGAAACGCCTCGCAGACTGTTAGAAAGCGATCGAAAAAGGTGATAATCTGAAATGAGGAAAGTGTGAGGTGTGCAGCAGAATTTTCCAATCAAGCTCACGAATAGCATTTTTGCTCAAATTAGCGACATGGTGGCGAAGAAGCAGGTGTGGGATAAAAACGCTCATGTTTGTCTACCTGGTACAACGTCATACTTACCTGACAGATCTTATGATCTTTCGGTTTCATCTCAGTAGTGGCTCAGTCCGCGGAAAGAGACGCTTCCGAGGAAAATAAATACTGCACGGTGCCCGGTCCCGGGGAACCGCTGCTCGAAGCTGTACCCTTCCACCATTGCAAATCAGGCCTACTGATACCAGAGCAACCGACGGGTGCGGGGCTGTGTAATTTTTGTCCTTGGTCCAGGTGTACGCGATCGGGTTCCTCAAATTAAAACCCGATCTTGAGTCACATCTCGTCTCAGTGGGGAGACCATTGTAAATATCTACATCGTCAGATGTCTGAATAGAGGTAAAAATGCAACCAAATTTCAAAAACTTGTAGAGGGAGAACAGTTTCAAAAAAAAAAAATAATAGCAAAAGAAACAATTTAAATTTAAAGAAAAATAGGTAAAAAAAATATTTTGCGTGTTAATTCAAATTGACATTGGAAAAACAGACGAATTTATCCGACAACCCAATGTAAGAGAAATAAATAAATAAAAAATAAAAGCCGTTAGCGTCGATATTAGCTCTGATGTAATTATACACTGTTCAGCTATGGCAAACAGAACCGCACTGACGTTCTCCGCTATCGAAAAACCGTTAATGGACGCGTAGCCTTGGCCCAGTCGCAAAAGCCGTTACAGTGAGAGCCAGATTAGATTTTGGCAACTGTTGCGGCAACCACCAGCTCATCTATTCGTGTATATATTTCCATTTAGTTTTTCAAAATAATTTCAAATAATGTCACTGTAAAATTGTCGCTCCACCTCATCTAGGCAACGTATACAACTTTAATAGGCATGCGCTTCAAAGTAATAGAAAATACTTTTGGTTATTGTGATATAAAAACAAAAGAGCAGTGAATATGACAGTCGTAATAAGAACACGTAAAATTAGTTTTGATTAAGACACCTGTTTGTTTTAAAATGACTCTTTTATAAACACACACACACATATATATATATATAAACTAATTAATTAATTTCAAACACTTAAAAACACTATAAATTATATAGAGGTAGTACGTCTGAAAGATTGAGAGCTGTTGTATAAAGCTCTCAAGAAATAAAAATGATTACCTATGGGATTTTAAGTGTTTGATATTCATTAATTAATAATAATTTTGCTTTGTTTTTGACAGAGTTCTCCCTGGATCTATATTCTCCTGGAAATTCCATACGGCTTACCACATTGCATTATCATTACTGTATATATACATATATATATATATATATATATATATATATATATATATATATATATATATATATATATATAAAATTTACCATTTAGCTGATTGATGTTATCTTCAGTACCTCGACTCGATTTTTCGTAGATTAACTATTTTGCAATTGTTTAATCCACTCTGCGAAAGGTTTTAACAATAAACTGGCGTTTTTTTCTCATTATTTGTCGTTTGTATAATATATATATATATATATATATAATGAGTGAAAGTAAAAAAAAAAATTCCACGTTCTTTTTTGAAGATATGTTATGGCGAAAAATGCGGATAAGTTTTTACTTACTTTTGTGTTTATATCCCCTGACGATTGGAATGAGTGAGTGGCAGAAGGTGCATCTACGAAACTCTAAAGTCGGGATGTTGAAGATAACACCAATCAGCTGAGTGGCAAATTTTATATTTGTCTTAATTACACACACACACTATATATATATATATATATATATATATATATATATATATATATATATATATATATAATATACTTTTTTATTTTCCTCGAAAAAAGTGAGCTTTAATGCTTTGTAATATTCGTAACAATGTTGTCTTGAATATTGTGTCAGCGAAATAATTGTTACATAATAATCATTTTGATCTTATTTAAATTGCTTTTTATTGCAAATCTCAGGGCGACATTATACGGTCGTCACTATAAGAAATAAACAATAATCTTCGAGATAGATTCGAAATGTTTTCCCTTTTCTTCGGAAAGCTTGCATATCCGAAGCAACCTCTAAGTCCATGACACACAACTCTAACCATATAGCTTTCAGTCTTTATTTCCCCTCCCCCTCGTATGTCGCTATTTTTGCGCGAATATTTAAGCCAGCGCTTTCGTAAAACTTTACCTTGTTAAAATATTTCCTTGGCTTGATTTATTGATATATATTCGTCTGTCTTGGGACCAGATGTTTACTCAGACACAGATAATTAAAAAGAACCTCCCACTCTTTTCCCTTTCGTAGTCAGTCTTTTAATATTTTAAACACAAAATTTATGAGCGAATCGTAGCCTGACACGTAGTTAAGCGCAGCATTTTGATCGGGAATTTTCACTGTATAATGTCTGATCTATGTGATTAACATAATGCACTGAATTGTTTAAAAAAAAGAAAGATTATTGGTGGGTAAAAGTGATGGGTGGGGCTCTCCTTCCGGATTCTTCTGGGGAGTGGCAGAGAAGTGTTTTTTTTTTTGTTTGTTTTTTTTGTTTTTACCGTCGGAATGGATGCTGCAGATGTAATATCTGTTCAATGCCTTCTCCCATCTCGCTTGATTTCCCTGCTACCTTTGTGTGACATCTGTTACGTAGCGGTGGTGTGACGAGCCATGACTAGATAAGGCAAGCTATAACCAACTTTAAACCAGCGGCCCGAGTGGAAACGAGTGTTTCTACTCGGGGCCCCATAACCTGACTCGACTCGGTGAGGTGGGTTCAATTAGATCTAGGGCAAAAGTGATGGATTCATACCTTTCCCCAAGGGTAAATCAATGTAACGAACTTGACTGCAATTCGAAATCGGCTCTACGGTTTCTCATTCTAAGCTGCTTATCTATCACACCACCCGCACATCCTTTCTGGTAAGGAAGATTGCTAAGACACAAAGCAGGATTAAAAACTAAACCTATCAAAGGGCGGATGAACATTCTAGCAGGGTCGTCTAGCAAAATGGAGTAAACTGGGACCCACAGCAGTGCAAGCAGCTAGTGCAATGATGGCAGAGGGCGCTAGGTGGGGGACTGAAGTCAAAGGTCAAGGTGGTTGTTTTCTCAATCGAACCAACGGCCACATGTCAGTTAACCAAGGCGAGCCTTCAAGTGGGAGGATAGTGATGTGAACTGGAGAAGGATGGGCTCCGCCAGCTCGGGAATTTATATTTCGGCTATCAACCCAGATAAATTCGCCTACAATACCAGCTTCTTAACCATTAAAACAGCCGGCTTACAATTACTGTTTGTATTTTTTCTCTTTACTAATTAGTTTTTTTTATTAGTCTTGTAACAATATATGTTTTTGTTGTTGTAGTAATAATGACAACAGTGGTAACAGCTGTTCGATTAGTATTCTTGGTCGGAGGGGCTAAAAAAATACAACGTATCTCACAACGGAAACGACGAACCGTGTTCAAATTTCGACTGAAGCCGTTTTGAAGCTTTTTTGCACCCTGTTTCGTCTCCAAATGACTTACAAAAAAACAATAAAGTGAACATTTTGGCAAAACACTGTCCCATAACTACCATTCCGAATGGTAATAATAAAAATCTGCCATACCCTTTGTCAACCTTGACAACGTTATGTTAATCCTGTAGACCCCCAACGCCATGTGTGGTGTAGGGACACGACGCTAGGTGTTACTGCTGTGTTGTCCGTAACAAGTAGTTTTTACAGAGTGGAGTTTTTAATCCAACGACCAACCGGTTTTGAATTCAGTTTTTGTTCTAGATTGGTTGCCAACCAAAACCCAGACTGTTGTTATTTAACCTATAGCTGGGGGACGTAAAAGTGGGATTCATAACTTCCCAGGGATACCAATCTTACTTTCTGTGTCTCTAATAGTTACGTTGCAGGCCCATCCAAACATGACGAAAGCCCCATGGGAATATATAACTGGTTTAGAAGCCGCCCTACCTGACGGTATTTAAGCTAGCTCCTCCGGGGGGCGGGGCTCTTGATTGGGCCTTCATCATAATAGATAGGGAGGAGTAGATGCGATAGGCAACAATAAACTACAGATGAACTCAAAAATGATCGCTGCATTCAAGTATTGCATTAATATTTAAGCTTACCCTTTAAAGATTCAACGATAATTCTTCTGCCGCCACTTAATTTAAAGACAATTTAATGTACGTAGGTCCTTACTTTTAATTTCATGGGTGACTTTCGCTGGATTCCCCAATTAATTTCCACTATTTCCAAATTAATTTCTAAGTTATAAAAATTGTTATCATACAAAAAAAATCCGTTGCAATAAAATCAAGTTAAAAAAAAAAAAAAATGAAAAAAAAGGAATCTAAATTTTCATGAGTACGTGTCCAGGTCCAGTCAGGAATGTTTTTAAATTGCTCCCGGAGTTGGCCTGATTCCAAAATGGTATATGTTGGGCTATGACCTTTGCTGAAAATACGGACAGTTTTATTTTGAAACACTGTAATTTAAGAAAATTAATTTTTTTCATTTGAACATGAGCTATTGAAAGTTAGTGAGTTGTGTCCCTTTAAGTTGAAAAAGTGTGACACACTGACATTTGCATTTATTATATAGAACTATTACTTACTTATTCAGTAAAATACATATTCAATTTCTCACTGATGCTGCGGAAAAAGACGTTTGCAAAAGTCTCGATTCGACAATCAACTAGTATCACCGGACGCAAACATCTTGCTGAAGAGTCCACAAAAGCATTTTTTTTTTATTACTTCCACGAATGCAACTTCAGTTTATGATATTTAATATCGAGTTGTGTTTTCTGACTCTGGTTGACGTCTACGTAAGCAAATGGCGATAGTAATTTGAGAGTAGGCCTCACTGTTGTCGTCTTTAGTTGTCTTACACTTTGGCAGCAGCCGACAAGTTTACTACCCGCAATTCCCTTGGAAAAAAAAAATGGCGCCCTGTATCGTTCGATAAAAATACATCAACCCATACTCAATTACAGTGCAGTGTGCAAACGCAGTCGCTGGGGACACGATACTGATAGGAAAGCGAATGTGTGCTTGTTCGCACATCTAAACGGTAGATTTCGTTGATCTATGTGGAATTACAATAAATAAACTGAAGGAATATTGAAAAGAGACGGGAAAGAGAACATAGAAAGAATAGGGACACGATAAAGTCGCAGGAAAAAAGAGATTGAAAAGAGGGAATGAGGAAGAGAGAAGGCATAGGAGCAATGGGGAAAGAGAAGAGACAGAACAGAGAAGCGGAAATGATGGGGTGAGGGATGAGAGACAGAAGAGAAAGAGGGAGTGGGAAGAAGAGAAGAGAGAGAAATAAAAGAAAAATGCTTGACACGGTCATGAAAACTGTATTTGGTCTACCGATATTAATACGTTGAAACTGATCGTTTGTAACGAAGTGAAATCTCTCTGTCTCTTTGTCTATCTCCTTCTCTTTCTCCTTCTCTTTGTCTATCTCCTTCTCTTTCTCTCTCTCGCTTTCTCATTTATTTTTTTAAATTATTTTTACTTTTTGTACAAATATGAACGCTGCTCTCGATGGATTTCATATCTAATTACACGTGTTTCCCTTCGATCTCTCGTTCCAGCTGTGCATGTGTATTAAGTTTCATGTGAATCCTTGTAAAATCTTTCATGATAACAGTTATATTTAACAACCTCCTTTACTCCGAAATAACGATTCCATTGAAAACTCAATTGTATGTTTTTATGGGGGAAATGACACCTTAGAGTCTTAATTCTCCGTCGAAAAAAAAAAACGATGTTTCACTTCTGAATACAATTCCCATGTATTTTTCTATAATAATTAAATCGATTTCGTCTTTAATACAACTTGAAACGGGTCATTACTCTTTTTTTTTTCTTTTTTTTTTTCAACCTACTTTAGTGGAGCCATTTCTAAAATTTGATTTCGTCTGGTTTAATGAAAGTGAACAAATAATGTATTATAGAATAAATCAAATTTACGAATAACGCTTTTACTGTGATATGTTTAATAAAAAAGAATGTCATTGTTACGGAATGTTCAAGGTTGAATTGGCTATATTTACGGAGTAAGCAAATATCTTTGTTTCTCTGACTCCAATCGTGTCCAGTGATTTGCCGTAAATACAACGGTTTCGTCTTTCCGAAATATTAATGTCTGGTCATTCACGGCTCTGTGAGGTTTTTCAAATCTTATATTTGTATCTAACGGAAATTTTCGGATTGTTATTCAAAGCGATACATGGTTTCTTATATGATTTTATTTGTTTCGTTTTTTTTTTTTTTTTTTTTTGTTTTTTATTCTTTCCCCCCCCTCTCTCTTTCACCTTTACGTTTACCTCTTTTGCATTTACGTTTGTTCTATCTCTTCTGTCCGTCTGTTTCTCACGCCATTTACGTCATTCGTTTGTCCTCTCTCGCCTTATTTTTACCTCGTTCTCTTTCGTCTTTACGTCTCTCCTTTCTCTGTCTCTCTTCTAAATTGCTCATTCTTTGATTTTTCTCTCCTTTCTCGCAATCTGAAAAATACCCACCTACACATGGGCATAGAACGAAATGATACATTAATCGGAATTGTTTCTCTTTTTTACCCCTCACGTTTTATGGTCCTCTCCATCTCACTCTCTTTCTCCCTCTTGTGCGCACGCATGAACACATGTACACTTTAAATAATGCGTCTAACTTGAAAGATACAATTGTAAGCAAGCAGGCAGGCAGGCTCTACTTACAGTATCGCTTCACGCTCAAACCAACTCTCTTGCACGTGTGTGCATATGTGTACACAAACGTGCCTCGCATTTGACGCCGATACAATTATCTACCGAATTCATACGCCCTTCTTCGTATGTGTGTGTGTGTTTGTTTGTGTGTGATGCGCACGCGTTCACTCGAAAGTAAGTCAGCGGGCAGTGACCGCGTTCCTTGCATTGCGTTCAGAAAAATTTATGCGTCCGCCGATGAAAAATAGAGCTGGCTCTGCGCGCACGCGCGATGAGGAGAAAAAAAAGAGTGGAGGAGGTGGGCGGAGTAGAGTGGAAGGGAAAGAGGGTGGAGGTGATTACATTTGCTTAGATATCGATTCGCCTTTTCTTTCTCCCTCGCCGATCTTCCCCGGCCCACGTCTCCGTGCGAAACTGAATTTGCAAATCGCTCGCAATATATTTGTGAGCGAATTGGCGTGCTTGCACGAATGACTCTCCTTCTCTCTCTCTCTCTCCGTTGTGTGTGTGTGTAAGAGAGAGAGAGAGAGAGAGACTTAGAGCGCTCGCGTGCATAAACATACATACATACAAACATACATAGACACACACAAAATCTATTATATGATCAAAATAGAACCTGCCTGTCTCCTTCAGAAAAAACGACGTCACACTATATATATATATATATATATATATATATATATGGGTGGGTGTGCGAGCCAGCATACATATATCCACAAATAGCAAAGAGAAATCCGTACAGTTGCGCGAATTTAAAATCTGCTTACATGTCCAACCGTGTGTGTACTCTCTCACTCTCTCCCCCTTTGTTTAAATTCCTGCCACTGTACGGATTTTTCTTTGCTATTTCTGGGTATATATGTATGCTGGCTCCCACACCTATATATATATATATATATATATATATATATACACACACACACACACACTCACAGGGGGAGTTCTATTTTGTTAGTGTAATTCAGCGGTTCTCAACCTTTTTCTAATCATGGACCCCCTTTTGATTAAGCACTTTTTATGGCCCCACCTCCTAACTGTTTACCTTGACAAAAGTTCATTTTACAATTTCCGGAACCAATAAACAGTTTATATTTCTATATATAAACCTCAAAATTGATTGTTTTTAAAATCCAAAACCGTTAAATGAAATATACTTTTATTTTTATTTTTATTTTTGGACCAAAAATTTCTGCACATAAATGCATACACAAATTAAAAAACAATCTGCAAAATAAAAACAATAAAAAAAAAAAGTTATGCAAAATAAAATAAATAAATAAATTCTTCATATAAATTTTACATAAATGCGCAATATAGCATACAAAATACTGGGAAATTATTTTATTACGTCATTACAAGTTTATTAGAACTAAATAGAAATCAACAGGTTTGTATCTACTATACCCGCTTTCAGTAAACTTGTGGCCTCACCAATCCAATTTTTTTTTCTGTGGCTCCCATAACATTTACGCTTACACCAAACCCTGGCCATATGGTCCCCCGTTTAAGAACCACTGGTAAAATAGTTTGTTTTATCGGATAACAAATCCGATCCTAAAGAGAAATATATGTACTGAACTCCTTAAGAAAGAATATAAAATTAAGAGTTTGTATTCATTTATTCGATAAAATGAATAACGTTGGATGTTACTTAAAATATGCTTGATATTTTACAAGTATAAAGTTTATTAACGTTGTCATCAATTTATTCTTATTTCTCAAGTTATTTTTTATTAATATTGTTATTATCATTGTTATTGCAAGTTCGATACCCGTCGTTTCGCTGATGGCGAGATAAAATTTAAAATCTAAATTGTTTGTCCATTTAAGATACTACAATTGTTAGAAAATATATTTGCTTCAAATAAAACTTTAGCCATAAATGTAACCTCAAAGGGCCGCACATATTCACTTATTCTCTTTTCTTGTTACCCGGAGGTTGTTATCATACAAAAAAGAAAATTAATTTTCGCGCCACAGATTTTTTTTTTTTATCAACTCACTCCAAACAAGGTGATAATGCCACTAAGACGCAAGAGGCTATTGGAAGTGAAATAAGAATGAAAAAAAAATTAGACGGAATCTGAATCCTAAACATGAAACAAAAGGTAAACCTTGACTCTTGTTCAAAAGACTGGGGAGGCGTGTGAACCGGGCGATAGGTAATTTTTCATTAAATGTGTGTGTGTTTGTTTTAATTCGATGACAGAATGATCTTGAATTATGGGTTTTCTCTATCAAGTCTTCTAACCTCAGATATTTCGCAGAATATTTTCAGTACCAAACGACGACAACTCCTGAAACGATGGGATATGAGACTTTATTCCGATTTTCTTAATATGGTACTTTAACTTCGGTGCTGCAGACTCCAACGCTTCAATGATAGCTGGGACAATAGCAGCCAGAATGTCGTATTTTCTGATAACTTCAACCCGGAGCTTTTGCCTGTCAATTTGTTTGACCTTGATATTATTTAATGTCACTGGGGAAAAATCAACGTCCGCGAGGAAGCATTTTCATCTTCATTATTATTTATTATTGGAACATACAAAACAACATTACTTAAAAAGGCCGACTACAGCAATTTTTCTTCTCAGACAAGGGAATAGCTAGACACAGATCAATTGTGGGCCATGTTTTCGGTACATGACTGACGAGGCAGATTTTTCCCGCAGTAGGTAGACCAGCTGCCATCCAACATGGAGAGAAGATGAGGATTTATACCTTTCCCAAGGGTATTAGCACGTAATATAATGGATTCGACTGGAATTCGAACTCGGCTCTCCGATTACTATCTCTTACTCCATTGTGACTCCTCCTCCCTCAAAGTCTGCTATTAGTAAACGATTTGTACTCGGTGCGAAATCGTAAATATTCACGGGACTTTGAAATCTAACTTCCACAGTTAAATGAGAAGTTATACGCACCAAAAGTGGTGCTGAAAAGTTCTCAGCCTAACTCCCTTATCCAAATCAATATTTTAATGGCTAAACATGACAATACTGATTCCAGAGAGTGGATCGGAATGAAAGGTTTTCAGCCCACCCTTATATGTGTACGTACATGTATATAATGTGGTATTTAAATTTTTTTTGTTTTAATACCACATTATCTGATGGCTTTTCGTGGCTCAGTGATAAAGCACACTTACATTGAAAGTGGTATCTCTGATTAAAATGCAATCCAGTTTAAATTCCTGTCCATGAGCACACTTGCATTTCTATGTCTAGGTCGGGATATTTACTCAAGCATGAATATCCAATAAATACAACGTGTGTGTGTGTGTATATATGTATATATAAATAAATAAATAAAAAGAAAGAACAGCAAGATATATAATCCGGTGTTCTTATAGATATTTTTATTTTTACAAAATAGTGTTCAATGTAAATTTACAGAGCATGAATATTATAAATTAATTGA